ATAATTATAATTATATTAAAATTAATTATAATATTATAATATAATAATATAATTAAAATTATTATAATTATAATTAATAATAATTATAATTATATTAACATTAATTATAATATTATAATATAATAATAGTACTATAAATACAATTAATATTATCATAACGATATTATTATATTAATATAATTATTACAATATATTAATAATAATACGATTATTATTATTATTAGTATTATATTATTATAATATTATATTATAATTATAATTATAATCATAATTATAATTATGATTGTAATTATAATTATAATTATAATTATTATAATTATAATTAATTATAGATATAATTATAATAATTACAATTGATTATACTTATAATTATAAGAATTATAATTGTAATTATAATTATAATTACAAATAATTATAATATAATATTATAATAATATTAATCATATTATTATTATTATTATATTGTAATAATAATAATAATAATAATAATAATAATAATAGTCTTCTTAATAATTGCATTTATATTACTATTATTATATTAAAATATTATAACTATTATTAATATCTTATTTCTTTATCATATTATTATTAATATATTAATAATAATTATACAATAATAATAATCATAATAGTAATAACAATATTAATAATAATAATTAATATAATTATAAAAGTGATAAATCATGTTTGAACTTTTCTGATCTGATCTGAATGTTTCTGATCTGGTCTGATCTGATCTGAATCTTTCTGATCTGATCTGAATCTTTCTGATCTGATCTGATCTGATCTGAATCTTTCTGATCTGATCTGATCTGATCTGAATCTTTCTGATCTGATCTGATCTGATCTGAATTTTTCTGATCTGATCTGATCTGAATAAAATAAGAATAAGCAATAAGTAATAAGAATAAGACGAACAGAACAGCACCTTAATTCGGAAAATTATTATTAGCCCCTGAGATTATGACATAATTATTAATGTAATCTTACATTTTCAAAAATTAATTAGTTATCTTGAGTTTTGACCATTTTCACTATATGTCCCATCATATTAATATTTGTTAAATTAAATTTAATATAACTCATAAATTCAATGAAAATTGTCTGGGAAATTAATTTTTAAAGTAAAACACAATTTATTATCATAATTTTGAGTCATTGTTATTTATCGTTATTCTTCCACTTAGCTACTCGATCATGAAATAAATATTGATCAAAGTAGTTAAGACAGAGAACCAATGACACTTATTTCGTCTGTAGCAAAGAACCAAAAAATGAATTTTATCAATTCATAACCTAAAAGATTGATCTAGTATTAATAAGAGACCTAAAACACAAAAATGTATCGATATAGGGCCTGAATAAATGAAATCTATCAATCTAAGAACTAAAATATATATCATAGATTTTGATTTGTTTAATTTTTTTTATTAATTCTATTACTAATTTTGATGATTTCTTCTTCACATAAAGTTCATTATATTAATTTAATAAGTTTAAATGATATTTAATTTTTTAATAAACATTATAAAATTATTACTAATTTTATATCTTAGTCGTGGGTCTTCTCGCTTAACTACTTTCATTATTACACGGTTGAGTAGCTAAGCATAAAAATAAAGGTAAACAATAACAATGACTTATAAATATGATAATAAATTGTAAATTACATTAAAATTTAAATTTATAGTTATTTTTTATTGAATTTAAGAGTTATATTAAATTTAATTTAATAAATATTAACGTGAGGGGCAAACAATGAAAATGATCAAAACTTAGGGGGTTACTAATTGATTTTTGAAAATGCAAGGTTGCATTAATAATTATGGCATAACCTCAGGGGGCTAATAATAATTTTCCCTTATTTCTAAGGTATGATTCTATTTCCTTGTTCTTTTAAAAATTGATTTGTTTAAGTTATTATTATTGGAAAATGATTTATACGAAGTAGTGAAAGTAGATAGTTTTTTTAAATAAAAATGATTTTAATCGTAAGATAAAAGTTGAAATATTTGATAAAAAATGTGATTATCAATATGAATTTATATCAAAGTACTAAAAAGCCCTTACATTAATTAAATATAATTAAATATTACGAAGTATGTATGTAACTATGTACGAGTATTGATTAGTTTTGTATGCTTTTTGAAAGCGAATCGTTCATCCCTGTCTGAAGTTGACCAACAGCGCCTCTATGGCTCTATCCCAAGAGCCAAATTCAGATGCAGCGGCGATATTGTGGCGACAACCTTTCTAAAATTTTCGACAGCAAGTGAGATTCAAGCAATGACCTCCCATTGAGACATACTACCTCTGTCCACCTAAGTTTAGCACAAAGGGGTGTAGTGCGGTTTTTAAGAAAAAAGTAGTATTGTGTGGTTGTTATTAAATTGATAAAGTGTGAATAAAGTAAGAATGAATTGTAACCACTCAAATATTACCTAATATGTTATGAGACAAACTTAATGGGACGGACAAAAAAGGCAAAACGGGACAAAGTTAGGGACAGAGGGAGTAAGGGTCTGTTTGCAACACCTTCCGCTTTTAAAAAAGTGCTTTTTTAATGAAATGGGGAGAAGTGATTAAATAAAAGTTGATAGTGTTTGAAAAAAAAAGTGATTTTGAAAAGTAAAAGTTAGTAGTGTTTGGTAAAAATAAGTGCTTTTTGTGTAATAAAAAAAGTAAAAGCACTTTTGACACGAAAGACGAGAAAAATAGAAGTTATAGTTTTTGGTAATAAAAGTGTTTTTAAAGCCAAAAGGCGAGAAGTGTTTTTTTTAAAGCGTTTGCAAATCAACCCTAAGATTTTTCAGTTCTCCTATTCATTCAGTTCAAATGCTATGGGATTGAAAAAGAATAGGCACATAAATAGAGGAATGGAGACTCGAGAGGCAGGTCGGAGTTCGGAGGAATGGAGAGTAATTTGGGTTTAATAGAAATATTCGTTCTAATAAATATCCACAAAGTTTGAAATATTTACCAATATAACCAAGAAGCTATCAACGGCATGTATATGTGTATGCATTGACTTCTCTTGGGTGCCCCAACAATGATTTTGTGTATTTTAAAATGTTGCCAATTATATACGAGTAGATTTTAATAGAAATTCATAGATTCTATAGGATACCAATACGATTTTAAGGAATTCTAAATTCTGGATTTATAAATATTTTAATGGATTTAGTGGATTATAAATAGTATGGATTGGTTAGGTAACTTTGGTTATTACTTAGTAATTATAGAATGAGAAAATTGTGTGTTGAGGATGTTTTGTTTTGGAATGAACTTAGATGATCTGATCGGATCTGATTTGTTCACATCTGGTCTGGTATTCTTTGATTTGAACTAATCTGGTCTGCTCTAATAAATGTCTAGTCTCAGTGTATTTTATAATTGTCAAAGTATGGTCTGATATGTTTAACTATGGTCTGATATGAGATTGAAATAATCCAAAAGAAAACATCATAAGCTTAGCATAATAGCAGTACAATCAATAATTGAGATGTCATATCTCAAAAGGGAATGTGCCGTTTATAAGTAAAATACAAGACTCTTCCCCCAAAAAAAGTAAGATACAAGACTTAAACTATAGGTTAAAAACAAGGTAATGAGAATATGATAATCCCTTGAGGAACATGGTTAGTGCATCATCCTGATGTATGATGTCGCCGACAATATTGTTCTTTGGGAATGGGATTTTTGGAACTAGATTATGATGTAAGCTGTAATGCCTATGATGTAACCCCTGAATACAAATGTATGAGAGGCCAGAAAAACGATAAAGTGTGGGAAGTGTAACTCAGCTGAGACGAAATCCTAAAATAAGGATGATTGCGCTCAACCTCTCCAATGTAGTTTAGCCCAACATAGAACAAACTCGTCAACAAAGCATTGAGCCTGGACTATGATAGCGGTCTTGGCACTGAGCCTTAGCCCAGAGTGTAGATGAGTTGAGCTCCTCATTTAGATCACCCATCTCTGCAACATTGGAGTATGACAATATACTCTATGAAGTATACTTATTTCACTAATAACCAAGCAGGGTACTGAATTGCCAGAGAAGAGTGGACCGAAGAACAAGAAACATATAAAGAATATAAAGTGGGGAAACTGAACAACTACTCCAGTGAGAATATCATCAAGCCCTTTCTATGTGAATAGGGTTTCCATTGTCCTGACCCTTCCATGCAGTGGTAGGCGCAAGGTTTTCCAATAGGAGGGGAGTTAATATGAAAAAAAACACATACAAGTAAATATATGTCACAAATGTTATTGCTATTCCAATTTGTACCCCATTTTGTACCTCTCCCTATATTTGTGGTTCACAAAAGTAATTCATTATAGGAAAGGTGTACAAATGAGGTACCAAATGAGGTACCTCTAGCACAACTCAATATATGTTAAAATTCTGGGGTAAATATTTGGAGGAAAAAATATTGGGGTGGAGAGGTAACCCCATTTGCCCCCCTTTGGATCTGCCGCTCTTTCACTGTCCTTATCCCTCTCCAGTTCATCCCACTTCCAAGACTCTTCTTTCTCAAAGGCATGGAACTCTTTTGGTTGAGTTTTCAAATAGTGTGCACGCAAGTCTTTATCACAGATTGTAAGCATTGCATATAGGCATGTTTTCCTCGTTCCATCTCGCTTCCCTAATCTATCATATGTACCTTCTTTACCCTGTTTTATGTTTTAACCTTGTTCACAACATCATATGTCTATGGTTACATCGCATACCTTGTCTCCAGACTATCCCATATTGGGCTGGTAACTGCATCACAGTACATGTTTTTAGAACCTCACCACATATTCGAAATTATTTTTTAAATAGAATTTTTGGATTCTTGTGCAAGTTATTCACCAATAAGTGTTACGAGCATTACAAATTCTCCCCTGACTTCACAAAAAATATTTACCACTACCCGTTCTTAAAATCTTTACATAAAATTCCTAAGACACAAATCATACATGGTGTTAGAGTTCTCAGTAGTTGGAACTTGGGATTTAAATTTGAATGTTCTTTCGTTAATCAAACAAACTAAACTTGCAAGAGTTGCAGCGCGTTGCAGTGAATTCATTAAAAGATTCGCGATACACAAATCAGAGTATCAGACCCTTACTAATTTCAGAAAGTTGAGGAGGGAGAAGCAAAAACAAGCTCTTATTCACTATGTCAAGGAGAAAACGCTACATTGAAAATGAGAAAGGATATATATCGCACAACACACTGCATATTTTACAACTTGTACCCGGACCGAACTCAGCTGACGACGAGCAAAGGGTAAACACGAAGGACAGACGACATATTTACATTGGCTATAAAAAAGACCTCATGCGACATCCTCTGGCAAACATACAAAAGACATGGTATCTCTCTGCTACGTTCAACACCACCTCCTCAGGGAGAAGAAAAGGGGTAGCATTGGCTGCCTCATATTTCACAGGTCGTAAGGAGGAGGAGGGCTTCTGGGTCCAATACCTCGGGCGTTCTCGTACGCAAACGACGCCGATCTCTTCTTGAAACGATACGCCTCTCTCCCTCCTGCACCTGCATGTATGTAGATTAACAACAAATGTTTCTTATCAACACCCTTCCCCACTCTGAAACTAGAGCAAAAGTTCTGCTTATATAGAAATTGGATTTCATTTCCAAGATTAAATTAAATGTAAGAAATTTGTGTTTTGAAATGTTATGTCAGACTCTTCACTCTTCATAACGAATAGGTCCTATCAAATGTGATGGAGAAGTATACACTACTAGTCTACTAGATGCTTTGATTTAAAATGATTTTTTCTGATTTATTATATTTAAATTTAATTTATTTATTTAATGTCCGGTATATGTATATATTATGATTATCTCAATTTGGATGATCTCTGCTTAAGTCTGATTTTATCATTGAAAACCCTCACAAAATGTTGTTTTGCTACAGCTCAAAAGTAGGGGAAAATAGCAATTTGGTGGTTAGCAACAGCATCAAATGATGTGGATCCGACGAACACAGGATGTCCCTATCGAACATTATTGATCAAACGATGTCTCATGTCTACCAAAGAAAATCAATTATCCAATGACGACACAAGCTAGGACCCAATGAGAGAAGTCAGTACCACACAAGAAAGATTAGATGAAAATATACATGATAAAATAATTTGATTGATTAAAAGTAGATCCCAGTTAAAAGTAGATCCGATCTTTTTCCGTTTATCAGTCTTGCCAGTCAACTTCTCCATCAAATAATCTTTAATTTCACGCATTGAGTTGTGTATAATCAAAATAAGTATGACTAAAATAATTTTTTTGACTGAATTGATCAAAGTTACTGCATAAGACCAGTTCAACTATTTTGATACTACTCCGTACTATTCTTTATTTTATTGATAAAATATACGGAGTATTTTAAAATTATTTATAAAGCCGATTTGAGTGTCACCAAAGGGCTTTAAATTTTAAACAAGATTGATAAAACAGATGTAGTATTGTCCAACAATCGGAAATTTGGATTAAGAAATTTGGATTAGGGTATGATCAAAATCAAGAAAAAGTTATTCCGTATGATTTCGAATACAGTATGGGTATGGGAAAACACTTTGAAACGGATCAAAATGAAAAAACAGAGATATAACAGATAAAATGTTGTTTTTATGCGCATTTCTATGATCTATAATCCACTAGATGATGATAATGTGTTGTTTTTTCCCGCCAAAAAACTTATTTATCCACTAAATTTCCAAATTAAGACCTATCAATCAGCAGCATTGATTAGGAAACAGACTAATAAAAGGAAGAAATCGCCACTAATATTCCCTAGATTCTGCTGGACTGTGAACAAGCTTACCAAAAAATGGAGATACCGGAGGAGTGGATCCCGCCGGCGATGGAGACGGCGATTGAGGAGGGGAATCCTTGCTCTGATTACGAGGAGACTTTAGTATCATGATACTTTTCGTCACTCTCATACCATCGTCACTTGTGTCCACAGTCAGTGATCTCTGGTTCGGAATCTGAGCCTCTGATTCTGCAGCTAAAACACATCACAGATCAGAAGACCATAGATCCGAATATGATCCGAAATGAGAGACTATCTAATGATCTTATCCAAATCCAAAGAGGTGTGACAACCAGCTTATCATCTAAGTATCTAATTATGTAACCATCAACAGCAATACCGCCATTAACACAAATGAGATTTTCAAATTCACACAAACTAACACGAGCTTAATGCTTTTTGAGCACACATATACGAGTAATTATTGTTGTTATTATATGCTCAATTAGATCTGATTCGAGTCATAATCGCTTGTATTACGGGTCAAGTGCTTAACGCGTACGAGAAATCAACAAAGGCGTACCCTTGCCGGAATCCGAACGGGAATTAAAAGTAGAAAATTTTCTAAGCTTTCCGAGACCGTCGTCGGGAGGAGGTCCGGCGACGGTGTCATCCCAGAGATGGCTAAGCAAATTCATAGCGCAGGTTAGACAGTCGGCGCAGGTTAATCAGTGAGTAGTACGGTTGTACTTCGTTCTTCCCCGGCGCTTTCTGTAAGAGTCCGTTCATTGGAGACGAGAGTCGGGTATTTATCACCGAAAAGCCAGAGCCATAGACGACGAACAAAGGCCGTTGATTTAGATCACAGACCAATCTACGGTCGAGCGTAGAGCACGAGTAAGGGGATAAGATCGGAGTCACATGCTGAAGTGTATTGTAACGTGATATGTTGACGCGTGTAAGTCATCGAAGGGCTTAAAATAACACCCATGTGACGTATCTTATACGGAGTACGGACTACGGAGTACATACTAGTCTGAAAACAAGAAAGAAATATACGGAGTAATTGTGCAAAGTTTTTAGTTGGATTCTTTTTGGTCACGGATCACACTATATTTAAACAAATCAGATTTAAATAAACTAGACGAGACTTAAAAAAACTAGATCAGACTAGATTTTCATGGTTATAAAGTACATAAAGATTAAATCAGATTTAAATAAACTAGATCAGACCAGATCAGCAAATTTCAGTCCAAATAAAAACATCTTAATTAATGAAAAGAGACATACACAATTAGAACAATAAATTAAGTAATTAAAAATTTAAGTTACAAAATTTTGTGAGCAAGAGAAAAATGTAAAGGTGTCAAAATTATAGAGGTGGAAGAAATATATTCGTGAAAGATTTTGCAGTATGGATGGAAGCCTCATGCTAGTGATCAGGTGAGATAAGTTGATTAGCTTATTAATTATAGTGCCTAAGTGCTTATATTTTACTTATCATTATATTGTTAGTTATCCACTAACTAATCCAATATTCAGAATACGTGTATATTTAATTCATTGTTAGCGAATTTAAGCTGTGAATTCTGGTAAGTCCATAGTTTATTGAGGAAAGTTTATCCAATATAAATTTAGTAACTTGGTGTATTTTAAGTTAATGACTCAAATAGGACTAATAGAAAAATTAATTGCACATTTAAGATTATAAACGAAACACATGTTTCATAAACTTTCATAGGACCAATTTAAGCCCAATTGGACAAAAATACCCCTCTTTTAAAATTTTAAATTCTAAAAATGTAAAGTAAAAAACTATTGAAACTCTAGAAGTATCACTACACTGTCAGATCCAGACGGCTTGTCACCGCCCCTAGCCGGCGCATCCTGTCATTGCCGCCCTCGCCAACGCATCCTGCCGCCGCCCTTGCTGGTGACAGCGCCTCTTGCCGCTGCCGCCACTTCCCACACCGACGTCGCCATCCACCACCACCACCATCCTCTTGGCACCACAACCATCATAACAACTCAGGCGAAATAAATTTGCCATTATGTTGGCAGATTTAGAGTTGGGGATTAGATTCACATCTGCCATACATAAGAGTTTCAGATCTGCTAAATAGTTGGCAGATTCATGTTGGAATATTAACACAAAACTGCCATAAATTTGGCAAAAATTTAAAAACATGAAGTAAATAACCAAATATTCAAAGAACTAATATTTTTTTATGGAATAATTTTTTATCACAACCGGAAAGTAGAAGAACGAAGTTATTGGCAAAAATCAGAAAAAACCAATTTATGCAATAACATTTCTGCCATAACATGATGTCAATGTACATATTTCTGTCATAAACTTGGCCAAATCTGAAGCAAAGGAAAATCGAGGAGGAGGAGGAGGAGGAGGAGGAGGAGGAGGAGGAGGAGGAGGAGGAGGAGGAGGAGGAGGAGGAGGAGGAGGAGGAGGAGGAGGAGGAGGAGGAGGAGGAGGAGGAGGAGGAGGAGGAGGAGGAGGAGGAGGAGGAGGAGGAGGAGGAGGAGGAGGAGGAGGAGGAGGAGGAGGAGGAGGAGGAGGAGGAGGAGGAGGAGGAGGAGAAGAAGAAGAAGAAGAAGAAGAAGAAGAAGAAGAAGGTTTTTGAGTTATATGTTGACAGACAATTTTTTTGTGAAGGACAGACATGTGTACACAAAATATGTACACCTAGCAAAACTCATTACAGATAAGTCCAAAACAATTTTACGGCCTAGGTCCGAAGCGGGTTCAGGCTTGAAAATAGACGAGGGGAGATATTCTAGTGGAAAGTGAGAGTCGGGTGACTTCAACAAGCGACTTCAACAAACGATTTCACGACTAGCAATTTTAGAGGCTCTCTATTTAGATGTAAGTTCAAGTAAGTTTAAATAGAGAGAGGCTCTCTATTTAGCAGGTAAACGATTTGGCACGTAAACTCAAATCTATTGTTTTATATAGTAAAACTGAGTTATAAAATACCCATGTGTCATTCAATGATTGGTTACAAATATATTATTTAACAAATTTAAACTTTTATGCTACGTAGCATTTAATGAATCAATTAATACTATGTAATTCCAAAATTAATAGCAGCTAAGATCCTCCTTTGTTCGGTCATACGGAGTAATTTTTAATTTGGACTCTTTCACCGAATATTACTAGCTACTAATTCCAAAATTTTTGGAATTTTTAATAGAGATGCACACAATACAGATACTATTAATTCATATGTTAGTACTCCGTACAACACTTTTAATTCTTTAACAAAAAACAAGAGCTTTCAAAAAAACAAGTAGTGTATGCATACTCCGCATTACAAGAGTATAAAAGACTAAGGATGTTTTCTTTTGGACTATTTTCAATCCAGATTAGACCAGACTTAAAAAGATTAGTCCAGCCCAAACTTAAACAAATCCGACCAGACCAAACTTGGACAGTTATAAAATACACATGGACCAGACGTTTACCATACCAGATCAGACCAGACCAGACTTAAACAGACTAGACCAGATCAGACCAACAAATTTCAGTCCAAAAGATAACATTCTAATCATATGCTTCTAAAACTTCACTCACTTATTAATTTCTTCCTAATCTTAAAGTCCATTGGATGACACCGAAATTGGTTGAATCAGCTGATTATACTAAAATTTATGAAGTTCTGGTTGAAGTGAATGGATTGACTGATTCTGCTGATTAATGAATTTTTTAAATTTTTTTACATTTCATTAATAAAATAAAGAAAAAATATACTACGTATGAAATTAGCTAAAATAGTCCTCTCTGCAGTAACTTCAACCCATTCATTGAGAAAAATGACTTCAACCTTACTTATATTTATTATTACATATTTTAGCCGACTAAATCAAAAGTTACGTGTTTGGTAAAAAAATTGGCTAATAAGACTGATAAGCCGAGAAACAGAGTCACTAAATAGGCTCTTAATCCTGTAATTTATTTTCCTTCCTATCTCTTCTTCCTTTCATACCAAATAATTAATACATAAATAAAAAGCTCATTGGTAACCTCTATATTCGGCTAATCAACCTTATCCTGACAATTTTATATCAAACACGTGATTTTTTTTATTTCGTGAATTGGATTATTTAATAATCAAGATAAGTAAGATCAGATAGATTAGAGTTACTTTTTTAGTTGAATTGGAGAAAAGTGCTGAAGATGACTATTTTAGCTATACTCACATACAAATTTATAGTTTTTCGAAAATATTACTAAAATAAAACATATTTACATGAATATGATTAAGATACTATAAGTATAATGTCACAATCACTTTTTTTGCAAAATGTCACACTCACTTAAATGTAAAACTTGAACATAAGCTTCTATTTCAAATGACTATTATAGTCACTACACTTAAGATGTCTCAAATTTTAAGCTTCTATTTCAAATGACTATTATAGTCACTACACTTAAGATGTCACAAATTTTCTGAACACTCTTTATCTTAGTCATAAATTTATAATTATTTCATAATTTTATCTTTGTTTCACTAATAAACTACATTTTAAATTTAATTTTTTCACAATTCAACACATTCACAATTCAATTTGAATTTCATCAATTTAAGCAGATTCGAACAATTCAGCTAATTTCAATATTACCAAACTTTTTTTGTATCACTTCAGTCAATTCAGCTAATTTCATTATTGTGTTATAACTTAGTTTTGTTATATCAAACAGTATATACTTACATTATATTTTCAAGATGTAATTGCCAATTTCATATTTTTTTTATTGGTTAGATAATAACTATTTTGATCATTGAATTGTGTTTTAATTTGTTTCTACTTTATTTTTTATATGAAAGACATCTAAAGGTATGCTTGGGAGTTTGAGGTGAAGGGTTACTAAGGAATTACAATTAAAATTGTTTAAAACGTATAATAGTTAAACTTATATTCATTTTGAGTTTAGCTAAAATTATCATTTAATTTGTTATCTTTCAAAAACTCTCAATTTGGGAGAACTTAAAAATTAAATCATTTGAAGTGTTTTGGAGAGAGTTACAAGAACCTCAAAAACTATCCATTCCAATTTTTTAAACTTGGAGGTTACATCCTAATTCAAAACAAAATAGATAAATCCCGTAAAGCAATTTCTATGGATTTGGAGGTTACTCCCCAAATCAAAGAAAAAATAGATAACGCCGCTAAAACAATTTTGTTGAATGGTATGTTCAATTTGTTAATAAAAAATATTACTCCCTATTGTTTATTTATTAAGTTCAGCAATTAACACTTCAAACCAAGTTGCTAAAAATTAGAGCAAAATGGTTTATAGTTGTTAAATTGAAAAAAAACGAAGTAAGACCTGATTAAGAATCATCCAACTCTGAGACTAGACACATTGAAAAACCAATCAGGCAATTAGTTAATTCAGATTTGGGTCCCCTAACATTAATAATTTCATTCATTTTCAAACCCACAATGACTAATGCACATTAATGCTTTTGAATATTCATTCTCATACCTCAACAGAATATTAACATACATATTAATTTGTTTTTATTAATATTATAGCATTACCTGATTCTATTAAAAATTTCACTCTCTATTGATATTTATTATTTAATACTTCCTCTGTCTCAATTTACATGTCCTGTTTTTTCTTTTGGATTGTCTCGAAATAAGTGTCAACATTTCACTTTACTATAATCAAATCTCAACTACAACTTTTAATTTTTAACCATTTTATTTATAATTATGTCAAACCAAAGAAAGACATATAAATAGGATGTATGTAATATTTATCAAAGTGACACTACCGGGGCATGCCCGGGTGTTACACTAGTAAGTTTAAATAGAGAGTGGC